GATCTAAGTGATCCAACCAATAAAGTGGTGGGGGTCTAAAGCCACCCACATTCTGGGAACGGATTGGGTTTTAGTGGTTTTTGGCATTGGACGAGTGGACGCCATTTACAGTAGTTGTTCCACTGCCAATTTTTGAGAATTTTTGTGTTTTTTGCAGAGGATCATCAAACCCCGGGTTTCTTTTGTGGCAATGTTTCACGGCCTGCATTGCATTTTTTTTAAATGGGTTGTGCACGAGGATCTAGGAATATCTATGACATCTACCGTTGTTTTTTGTTCCCGTTGTTTTTTGTTCCGGCGCAAAGGTAAGAACTTGGTACCCAAGGGTGAGCCTCGTCAGCGGCAGAACACCTTCGCTCCATGGCCGGAAAGTAGATCTAGAATCGGGGTGGTACCGTGGTACCATTGAAGTATCACTATCATCATTTATGATCACTATTTGGGAGAGTACCTCCCAAAGTAATAAACCATGGTTTATGAATCAAGGGTTGACATTAGCAACCATTGTAAATAACAATAGTAATAATTTATCTGTGTATTTTGTACCTAGTTAGTAACCAGAGTTTCAATTTTTAGCCCATGTATATACGGGAAAACAGGCAACCCAGCAGTGAGATCCCCGGTTTCAAGTCGCTTGAAGAACCAGAGGTTTACTAATCCAAAATAGTGTGAGATGAATATAAAAATGATAGATTAACAAACATAACTATGGAAAGATCCACCAATGTTTAATATGTAAATCAACTATTTCTACGGTCATTTTCAATAGTTTTTTGTATGTTTACCAGAGGGTAAACTCGACTTGGTGCCTTATATTGCAAAACCTGGTGTTTTCGCTAAAAATCCAACCGTCAACCCATTCCCAACTAGTTCTGGGCCTGAGATTCTGCTCCGGGTTGGGACCTTGATATTGTGTCAAGAGGATAAGGTCGGATGGCCCAGAAGATGACTCGAGCCTGTGACATATGATTATCATATGATAGTAGCATATATATATATATATATAGTACCCTCCAGTAAATCAACATAGACCCTGGTAGATAGGGGTTGGAAGATTAGTTTCCTCTATAAAACGGTGGTTTTCAGGGTCTATGTTAATTTACCAGAGGGTAACTTCATAAAGCTATGTGGCTATGTGGCTATCATCCAACGCCGCGCGGGGCCATGGCTAAGCGGCTAAGCATGGCTGGACCACACCGCTGAGGTGTTGATCCGGGATCCCTTGGCTCGTTTCATCTCGGGCTATGCTGCCATTGAGAAAGAGCTCAAGCAGAAAGAAGCTGAAGGATTGGCCATGGAGGACCCAGAGAGAGGATTGGAGACATTTGGAGACATTTGGAGACCATGGAACATCATGGAACTAGTTGGACATTCCGTAAGTTACTATGGTTACTGGACATGAACATGTATCAACTTTGATTTATCTTGACTTTGATTGGGAGATGTCATGGAACCTAATGGATATATATATATATAATATGTATGGAAAGAATAGATGGATATAATATGATACAATCTATGTAGTTTCTACGTTCAAGGAGCGTCCTAGTGGGGTGACAGTTCGCTGGAATCATGTCCAGAGCCAGGACATCCCGCAGCTTGGTGAACTCGGGGGGGTGGGTTTACAAAGCAACTTGTAACTGGGGACCACCAAAGGAATATACTACCCTCTGGTAAACATACAAAAAGCTATTGAAAATTGCCATTTATAGTGGATTTTCCCATTAAAAAATGGCGATTTTCCATAGCTATGTTAAATTACCAAAGGAATATATTGTACATGTTGCTAGGTACCCTCTGGTAAACCTACCAAAAACGATGGAAAGATCGACAATTTTTTAATGGGTAAATCAACTATTTCTATGTCCATTTTCAATAGCTATGGTTGTTTACCAAAGGGTAATTTGGAATGTAATTATACATATACTACCAGTATACATATTTGTGAATGGAATTCAATATAGTATACTCTACACATATATCTACACATATATCTACACATATATCTACACATGCGCACACATTTTTAGGTCGCCTTTTCATACCTTTTCCATTGGTCACTTTGCTGGCCACCGGCCTCCAAATGGTTAGCGGAATGAGCTGCGAGGAGTATCAGTTTCTTAGCGAAGCCAAGAACAACCTCACTGCAGCATGGCGAGAACGGGGCAGCACATGGCAAGTCATAGAAAGCCGACGGTTTTTGGTAGTCTAAGCTGGCACTTTTACGGGAAACTACGTAATATAACTAATATAAGATATAGGTCTATGAGTTCATGGTGGGTTTCCATGTTTCTTGGTTGAGTTCCCCCCTGGCAGCCAGCCTCAAGTTCCACATCCATAATCATCCCTGAAGTCATCAGGAAACTATCCAAGTATATCCAAGTTTAGGGGGTTGAGACCGATGAGCATCCCTCTACATATAGATAGATGTATTGAATACAATTCTCCAATTATAGTAAAATTACAACATGATAATGTCATCTATCATTGGATCATATTATAATAAAAGTATGAGCATCCATTCCAACAACTGGTCAGAAGCCACAAAAAAACTCCGAAATGTTGACCCCTTAGCGCCCCTTAGCTTTGGCCCCTTGGGACCGCGCTGGCAGCCGCACCAAGAAGCGGGCCACTCTCTTCTTGCATCGTTTCTTTAAAGATGGCGCCAACTACAGCAGCCCCTGAGTTGCAGGATCTCTTTCGGTCCAGTCGGAGACCATGAATTCCAGGTGTTCAACCTTTGTTCAAACATAAGTGCACATGATAAATGATAAATATATGTACGTAACATATGTATATGCTGTATATTGTTGTATGTTGTGTTTCAGGTGTTTCTCATATCCAATTCTGCTCCCGAGGTCACGTTTCTTCCATGTCTGTGGCTTGGTTGAGTCTCGCACTTGGGAGGGCACATGGCGTTTTTTTTCCAGACGTTTTTTTTTGCTATTCCCTGTTGTAATAAGGGGGATCTGGCTGGTGGTGTCAACCCATCCAGAATGAGGATCTGACCATATATGACCCATCAAACAATATATTCGATTCAAATATATAGTGGTGATAACCAACTGAAATCCCCCCGTTGGTTTGAACAAAAATGAATTACCATCAACATGGGATGACTTCACGCGACGGACATCTGGTTCAGGAGCATAAATTGGCCACAGAAACGCCTAAATTTTCTTAGATATTGTTAGATATATGATTATCAAATCATCCAAAATTCTATATGGAAAGACCCAAATCATCATAAATCATCCGGATGGTGTGGCATATCTACTGACGTTTGGAGAAACCGGTCAAACAGGGCTCAAGCTTCATTCTTCGCCCTGGCCAGGAGTATGTCGGCAGCGTCAGCAGCACATGTCGGGAGCTCCCCGGTTCGACATGGTACTGGGGGAATGATGGGTTTCACGATTTCATGAATGGATGACAAAATCTACAGGAAACCATGGATTTTCCCATTCAAAGAATTGTTTTTTCCTGTAAATTTATCTAAAGCAATCTTTTGATTTTTGATGTACGTTAGTGAAATCTGGTGAAGATGAAAATGGCTGGCAGAGGGATGTTTATATCCTAAAAGCATGGTGCTATAGAGATCCATTGCCATGCAAGTAGGGTTTGAAGTTTGAAGCAAATGAAGGTCAAGTTCCTCTGGAAGTGAACTTGTTTGAGGGTTTCTCAGTGTAGCATGGTCGATGGCTGGCCCTTGATGCCTCATTCTGCCTGCACTTGGTTCTTGAGTAGAAGCTGACGTTTTACTTGCCTAAGTTTTAGGCCCTAAAACAACTTTAATATAGCAAGCTGAATTTCATATGCACCGATTGTATATAGGTCGGAAGACCTTTTGGTCTAGCACATGAGTTGACCATTGGATTCCTGGCTGCAGCCTTGTTCCTTTATGCAACTGTGCCCCGCAATGCATTTTTTCGCATATTGTAGCAAAGCATAGTGCAATGGATGAGAGTCACAATGTGGTGTCCCATTATGCCATAGCAATGTTGGTTTGTAACATGTTATACCCTCTGGTAAACCAACAGAAAACTATGGAAAAGCACCATTTTCAATGGGTCAATCCACTATTTTTATGGGCCATGTTCATCCATTGGGTCCATTTTCAATAGTTTTTTGTATGTTTACCAGAGGCTAACTAGGCGAACTGGGGTTGATTGCTACGCTTAGCCTGGGCACCCACCAGGGGCGCCCAGGCTTCCGAAGCAGTGGTTTGCAAAGGTGGAGAATGCGACCCAGACCTGGCGGCTCAGCTGGCGGAAAATCCCCCATTTTTGTTGGGCGTCATCAACTGTAAATGGGCCATGTTCTATATAATCTATATATAAGAGTTATGTTAAATGACCAGGGAATAAGAATATATAAGAAAATGATATGTATATTTACTGTTTTTTTTCTTCAAAACGGGGCAATGAAGATGATAAAGATAGTGACATGTTCATAGTGATCCCGAGTCTGCAAGCCAATATTTGAGGTTCCAGACACGAAAAAACAACAAAGTCAGAGCGGTGCTGATGGGTTTAGGGCTTCTCAGGCTGGAATAGTACACCATTTTGGCTCACCCAATGACACAATGATGTGCAGTTCGCAGGCGGATTGTAAGCAAAAAACACATATATATATAATGTGTATATATATATATATTAATAATGTATATATATAAAATGTATATATATATATATATATCATCATCATTATTGTATATATAACTGGGTTTAAGTCGGCTTATTATCCACTTACTGTACGATTTTCCTCACGTGCAGCCCATCATGCAGCCCCACATGCTAAATGGCCGGTTGAGGTGGCCACGGCCATTGCCGTTGGGTCAGTATTTTGCGAAAACCTGGGATTACCGCCTGGTAAACTGACATAGCTACGGAAAATCACTATTTTTCATGGGTAAACCGACTATAAATGAAAATGTTCAATAGCTATGTTAAATTACCAGAGGGTATGACTCCATGACCTATCCATGAGGGGCTCTTACTTTCACCCTTGAAGCATTCTGTTTGAAGACCCTGCCCCCGGCTTTGCAAATGAATCTCGGGATGTTTTTTGTAAAAGGGGTCCAGACAGGTTTACCCCACTGGTAGATTCAGATCTTAAGGCCTTAAGGTTCTAGAAATGACCTGACATGGCAATGATGTTACAACACAAGAGATGTTGATTCGGTGGGGTTCTGTGGATCATGGTTATTTTCTTCGACTTCCAATGGTGTCATCCCCAATGACTGGGACGAGAACATATTGGGACCATTTGTTTGGTTTCCAAAGGTCGAATCTTTATGAGCAACTGGGCCATCCACCTGTGGGGTTTCACCATTTTTTCCATGGCAAGGACCATGTTTCTGAAGAGAAGGGGCTGCAAGAAGGCCCTGGAAAGTTTCACCTCTTTCAATACAACTGAGAGACTTGGTCGACAAAAGGTCGGAACGACAGCTCCAATATTATATCTGTCATGGCTGTAGGCCACTGAAAGCAAAGTTGGAAATTGCAAGACTGGGATTGGAACATGGTATATACATATATATGTGTGTGTGTATTTATCTGTATGCATTATAGATATATGATATGCATATATATGTGTGTGTGTGTTCATCTATGTATGTATTGGCAGTATATGCGATGGAGAGAGGTACAGTACATGTGAGTGTGTGTGTGTGCGCGTGAACCGTTAGCGGTCAGGAATCAAGACCATGAATTCATTCAATCAGAGGGCAGTAGCACCATTACAAGTCTAGGGCCAACGAAGACACTTGCAATCGGTGATGGTACCAGGCCTGATCAGTGTGGCATACCTGCACTTGGTCAACTCTTGAACTGTTGTGAATCTCAGGCTGCTTCAGGTTAGGTCTGAATGAAAGAAAGTTTCCAGTGAACTCACAATCACTGTCAGGATTTCGGCTTAGGTAACCTCAAGGAGAGGACAAGCTCATCATTTTAAAGTTCCAATTACGGAGTAAGTCACTTACTCAATCAGCAGCAGTGTTTGGGTTCTTTTTTTTGCATGCCTGTATATATATATATATATGTGTGTGTGTGTGTTTGTGCACATGTATTTATTTTTCTATTGTTTATTAAGTTTATCACGCACGCATACCATATGCACGTACATTTGTCCGTCCCTCTGTTTGGTGCGCCCAAGGCAAAGCACAGCTGTTTAGGGGAACCCCTTTTATGAAATTCACAGCGAAGAGCAGTGATCCAGTGGGGCTGTGCACGAGATACGTTCCCCTGAAATGGATCCAATCTTAAATTGAAAAAGACCTATCAGATCTCCAGCATGAAATGGTAAGAAAAAGGAGGGACAGGGTTGTATGATTGTATGTGTTTGTTCTTTTTTTTGGTTACCGGTGGTTTATCCCATGGTTTTTTTGCCAGCCCTTTTTGCCACGTGGATTTTGCACCAAATCCCCAATGTCGGTGACCCCTCTTGATGTCGGTGGATCAGCTCAGGAGAGGAGGAAAATATGAGGTGGCCATGAGCTCGACCATCGCGGATAGAGAGCCTCGTCCTCGTGCAGAGCCCAAACGGTGTCGCCGCTATTGGCTAAGATAGAACCCTTCGCCAATTCAAAACCGTTTATTCACGTCGCTTCGCGACGGCAACCGCCCGCACCGCATCGTAACTGCCAATGATGTCGGCCATTGAGACCAAAAACATCCGAAAGTATTGATTGTCGGAAAAAAAAAACGCGAAGAATTTGATAGCCATGTATAGCGGACCAACGCAGTTCAAAAAATAACGAAAAACATGAAAAAACGGCGAAATTGCTGTTATTTACAGTGTTTTTGCGCGGTGAGAAGCAGAAACCACTGCAAATACCATAGTTTTTGAGGGTCAGGTGGCCAAAAACACTGTAATTTACAGTGTTTTTTTAACCAACGTCAAAAAACACTGGTATTTACGATGTTTTCATTCACCCCGTAACATAAAACAGCGTAATTTACGAGGTTTTTGGAAGTTTTGAAGCTAGCCGTCAAGCATGCAGAAAACAGAAAAACACTGTAAAAACCAGTGTTTCTGCTATCACAAAACGACGAAAATCAGTCCGAAAACGGGTCCAAAAACTCAAAAATCCGCCTCCGGGCCCGGCCACCTGCGGAACCGCAAAAAAAGATGTTGCAAACCAAAAAATTGAGGTCAAAAAGTTGAAAAACACAGGTTTTTTTTCACTTTTCGCTTGCCGATTTTGGACGGGCGCGTTCACGAACAGGTGTCTTCCGTACTGTTTTTTACAGTGTTTTTTGAAGGCGAGCGTCACGACCTATCAAAAACAGGAGGTTTTGGCCGAAAAATGCCCCCCCCCCCCAGGTAAACCTGTAACCTTTTACGAGTGCCATCCGGACGATCACGCCCCAGCACCTTCGGTGCGGGCGGATTTTTTTGAAAACTATGGCTTGACGTGGGTCTGTTTTACTGGCGACACCTTGAGTAGCTAGTGAGACGATGCGTGAGGTGATGGCAATGTTGTTTGGAAAATTTTGGGGACACCTTGCATGTTTTTTTTTTGGTGCTATTATTTGAATGTATTTGAATGTATTTGATATGTTGTTATAAATGTGGACGCAGGCCTAACCAGCTATGTCTTTGTGCAGCATATCTAAGATTAACCATGAGTTTTGTGTTTCTCTATTTTCCATCCTGCCTGACAGGATGATCAACTTAGTCACTAATGTTTTTTTTGGATGGGCTGGCAGATTCTGAAGCAAACCATATAAGCCATGCAGCAGTTTTTTTTGCCAGTATATCACAGGGTCCATTCAATGTACGATTTTCGGATGTTTTCGGGGGGATCCAATCGCTGAGGGTGGTGCTTTGTTAAGGCCATGGCAGCATGGTTTTAATCCCTAGGGCCCTAGGATCCGCATATTTCAGATGTGTTTTTTTCCAGTTCCAACTGGGGACAACATTCAAAATGGACACCAAACATAGTTCAGTTAAGTGAAGTTTTTCATGAAATATATGCAATGATAAGCAGCATGCTTCAGCATTCAGAAAGGTTTCTTGTCCAGGTTGGAATTTCCACACTTGTTTGTGGTGTATAACATGATCATGCAAATCACCATTTGAATCCATTTGAGCTCAAGAGAAGGTGGAAATTCAATGGAAACAGGCCCAATGTAGATGAACAACTCCGCAAAGTTTGCGCAACAAGAGTGAACGGAGATCAAGAGGCAGCCGTTATTTTTTGCCGCGGTTCTGGCGGCTAGTGTTCAGAGAGACATCTATCATGATACATGTCCGAACTTGCAATATCTCAATGTCAACAAAATCCTCAAAAAACATCATGCCCTTCTCTAATCTGAGGGATCCAATTCATGTCCAGCATGATTGGTGGTTCCAATCGCAATTGAAATTTATGTTGTAGCCTTAAACTTTCGAAAAGAACATGAAACTTGGACCTGACAGAGAGATCTCCATGTTGCCACACTTGTTTTTTTTGTTGGAGCCTCAACCAGGGCGGGAGGTGATCCAGTGAATCCAGTGACAATCTGCCCAGGAAAGTCCCTTTACGCCTTCCGATAACAAGATCTTCGTGGACGGCAACGCCTCCAAGGCCTCCAAGGCCTCCAAGGCTTCCAAGAAATCCTTGCTGTCGATGGATGCTGCCGAGAGCTCCTATGGGATGGTCATGAGCCAATTGATGGGCTTGAACAACTATGTGCCTTGGAAGGGAAATTATAGGAAAGTACGGGTAAGTATATGTAAGTATGAGGTTATGCCATGTTATGCCATTTATAACTTGGCTACAAGCCTCCTTACATCTACTTACTGCAATGTGGTGCATATCCAGTTGCTTGTGTTGGTCTGCAAGCCCCGCAAGAACGAGTTTGACATACCTACCACAAACATCCGTAAATGTCCATAAACTATGGGCAACATAGTTACAATTGTAGACTTTGCTAACAATGGGGGGCCACATTGTAGAAATGGAAGGGCAAATGCATGGGGAATTCTCCATTATTTGGTTTTCGTTAAGACCACTTGAACACTATTTGGTAAGCAAACGTAACTGCTCGATGCTGCTCGGAAATTGCACAGTTGCTTGATGTATTGCATCGATTCTCATGGTAGATTTTCCAGTCATGTCTATTTATTGTTATTTAATTGTTGTTCTTAAAACATGTTTCTTAATTATCCGGGCAAGAGACCCCACATGAAGAAGAGAAACTCGGTTAGATTCTGCAAGTTTCCTTGGCGAGGATCTGTGTAGAAGATCGTGTGCAATATCTGCTTGACAGGTTCTTTGTAGGAGCTGCTGTGCAAGATTTGCCCACAAGAGATCTCTGTAAGAGATCTCATAGTAAGGTCTCTGTTCAAGATCTCCATGAAAGATCTTTGAGCAAGATCTGTATTCTCTTAGCCACGTCTCTGTACAAGATCTCTAGGAGAGGTCTCCTGGCAAGATCTCTGTACAAGATGTCTATAAGATAACTCTTGGCAAAATCTCTATAAGAGACCTCTTGGCAAGATCCCTGCACAGATCTGTATGTAATGTTTCTGTACAAGATCTTTATAAGAGGTGTCCTGGTGCAAGATTTTTCTAAGAGATTTCTTTGTGAGATCTCCTTGTAGAAGCTGTCTACAAGAGATCTCTTGGAAAGATCTATGTAAGGGCCCTGTAAGGGACTTCTTGGCAAGATCCCAAAGACCTCTATGCAATGCCTCTGTACAAGCTCTATAAGAGGTCTCCTGGCAAGCTCTCTGTACAAGCTCCCTATAGGAGGTCTCTTGGCAAGCTCTCTAAAATTATGACGTCGAGAGACCTTCATTCATTGGAAAATTGGAAATAAATGGAAATAATTGAAATTACTTTAAAAAAAGCAAACAACAAACAGAAAAACAAAACTTTACTTCGAGTGATCCCCACCATGACATTTATATGTTTTGTTACTGGCAAATCTTCTGACATATCTTCTGACATATCTTCTGTCTCTTCTGTCATATCTTCTGACATCCTATCTGGCATTCTATCTGGCAAATCTTCTGGCATTCTCTCTGGCCGTTGAGGCCCAGCGGCGCTCACTGAGCTCGGCGGGTCCCAGGTTGAGGTCCAGCGGTGCTCACTGAGCTCGGCGGGTCCCAGGTTGAGGTCCAGCGGTGCTCACTGAGCTCGGCGGGTCCCAGGTTGAGGTCCAGCGGTGCTCACTGAGCTCGGAACGTCCCAGGTTGAGGTCCAGCGGTGCTCACTCAACTCGGCAGGTCCCAGGTTGAGGTCCAGCGGTGCCCACTGCGCTCAGACCCTTGCAGTTGAGGTCCAGCAGTGCCCACGCTGTTTATTGTTTTTTGTTTTGTTTATTGTTTTTGTTTTGTTTTTTGCTTGTTTTTTGGGTTTGTTTCTCTTGGGGGGTTGTTTTTTTTGGTTTGCTTTTTTGTTTGTTCGTTTTTCTTTTAAAGTTTCCAAAAATAAACATGTTGAGTCATAACTCTAAAAGAGCTCTCTTGGCAAGATCTTTGTAAGAGACCTCTTGGCAAGATCTCTGTACACCGTGGCAAGATCTCTGCACAAGATCTCCCTGACAACAAGAGCAATCTGACACGCACAAAGTGACACGAGGGTTGTGCGAACAATTTCAAAATTCGCACCGCTCCACGGCGAGACCGATGCGACACGCCCAAAGAAAATGACGAGAGGGTTGCGCGAGCACATGTTCGATGTCCACGAAACATTGCGCGCACCACGAAAAATGAACATCTTAAGAATGTCAAAAACAATGTTTTACCAGGTCTCGGGCACTTTTTGACAAAGGTCTACTATGCACTGCGCCTGCCAGAAAAAATGAGCCCGAGGCATCCGAAGTGCCGCACCTGCCACACGGAATCATCATTATGTTCGAAATCAAAAATGACGACAGTTTTCCAAAACGAGACCTTAATCGACCCTTTCAAAACGTCGTCCAAGTTCGCCTGCACCTGTCACACAAAATGACTCCCAAAACCACCTCTTATTTTGACCCACGCTTGCCGACGTCTTAGCAACGTGCAAAAAGCGCCATGCCTGTCGCAAAATAAGTGCTACATATGCCACGCTTGCCACGCAGAATGGACATAGCTCAAAAAACAGTCACGGCGCGCTAGTAAAAGGACACCTTCAGAAGAGAGGTCTCCGGGACCATAGTTCGTGCGAGACTTCTTTCGAAAACGGAAAATGACGCAGCTTTGTGCTGTAAGGGTCACCAAATTTGCCGGACGCGGGTGAGAACACCTCGAATCAGCACCAGGCTTTAACCCTTACCAGAGGAACCCCACTTTAAAAATATGAGCCAACCCAAACATCGAAAGCACATGAACATACATTGCAGGTAGGAAAACCTATAAACAACGATGGTAGGGTTTGCCCAAATCCGGGATGGTCATGTTACCCTTTGGCAATCAAACCTGGTTTCAGGAAAATCCCCAGTTAAACAAGTTGGTTTATATACACTATTAACGACAATTACACGCATCATAAACCATAGTTGGAATTACAAACCAACTTGGCTATCTAGGGGGCCCCGCTTTGTACTGGAGGTCTACCTGAGAGCCTTTTGTTGGCTGAGCTTGCCGGATTATGTGATCTTCGACTATGGTTTGCCACAGCCTTGTCATCGCGAGGATATGGACGTCATTTTAAAACTCTCCAAGTAATCTGGCGAAAAGTTGGATGAATTGGGTTGGTGGTAATATTTTATGCTAAATAAATCTAAATACCTTATAATTTTATAATCATCGATTATATGGTACACATTTGAAAATCGAGGAGGTTTTCCTCTCGTGGGAATCTGTGGTATATCTACCAAAAACAAAGCAGATCAAACAGATGATGAGTCCACCTATTTTCAACACAAATTGTGCTAGTGTTACATTTGGCGAAGTTCAGATGAAACACGGGATATGTCGGATATGTATCTGCTGAATGATGCTGAATGGGTTTTGATGCCAGTCATCTTGCGTTCCCCTCGAAATAGCGTTGGGTTCTCACGCGGGCCATTCCCAATGTCCACTGATAAAATAGCTGGTGGAGGTTCGAACACCAGTTGCACACCAACAACGTTTTCCACATGTTTTTTAATTCGACCACCCTAGAGGGATCCCTAAGGATCCAAGCATTTGAATGATGATCCCCTGATCCATCAGCGCCCGTGGCCCAATGCAGTTTTGCTCCAACGTTGGGTGCCATGATCCAATGCTACCATGGTCCTGTAAGCCTTTTCAAAAATTGTGATCATTACACTTTGGTAATCAAACATGGTTTGGTGGAAAATTCCCACATATATAGATGATGTTCCTATTGAAACCCCAAACAATTTACCATGATTCCCCCCCCAAACAATCATTGTTGATCAGGTTTTTGGGAATTTTCCATTTCAATGTGTAAGTAGCAGGGGGTCAGTTTGTCACAGGAGTTTTGGTGAAGGACCTTTGGCCCATGGCAATTATCCAGGAACCACATGTGTAGTGCTATTTGCCAGTTTTCAAATCTGCTAGTCTCAAACCAAAAGAAAAAGATCAAGTCTGAGATGGTGCCCAACCGTTAGCAAATTTGGTTGACAAATTAGGTTAACTCTGGTTTGTTGTGATGAAATAGCTGTAGCTAGATGAGCTGTATAGACCAACATCACGTACACGGGGGCACCACAGAAAAGATCAACAGCTTGCGTTTGCCATGGGTCGCCCATGGAAGGCAGAAGGTTGAAGAAGACCCACTGATGAATCCTGGCAAGAAGAATAAGCAGAATAAGAAGAACAAGAGAAAGATCCCTGGCAACGTCAAGTTCTCTCCGGTTGTGGAGCGGTCAGCAACCAGTTTGTATCCATATTCCCCAAACGTCCCCAAACATTGCCATAGATTTCCCGATATTTTCCTAGGTCCTAGTTTGTATGGAGAACCTGCCAAGGAGCTACGAATAGAGTAGTATTTGTACGTATGTATACATACATACATACATACATACATTTATATATATATATAAATCAATAAACAAATAAACAAATAAATACAGCAAATAAATAAATAAATAAACAATATACCTTATCATATTATAAGGGGATGTACATTACAATACACACATATATATATACAAGTATATATATGATGTGAGTTTCACAGATTGACCCCAATAGCGGAAAACTGGGTGAATCGGAAGCCGAACTCGAAGAACATCCACCGGTTGATGATTCCCAATGAGTACAGCGACCAAAGAAAAAAGTAGCATGGAACTCCAAAAATAGGGTCTGGAATCCTTTGGGATATATTTCTGCCCAAAAAGAATATGGCAATCTTTGGGATCCATCTGGGTAAACTATATTACTATAAGTTAATTCTAAGCCCATTACAGATATTAGTGAGATTTAGTAAAGGAAATCATTCCCAAATTGCCTTAAATTTCCAGATCCATGATTGATCCATGTCCATTCTTTTCAGATGGTCAATCATTTCCTATCCGGTGTAATCTAGAAATCCAATAATTTTCCCAGATCCATGGTCGCGCGGTGAAACGCGGGTTTTTGAAGCTGGGTTTCCAGGTGCTAGCCTTTGGTAACATGGCTGTTGAAAGTGGTCCATTCATAGATGTTTTATGATGGTTTACCTAAAAACATTGTATATTTCTGTAGAATTGAGCTCTGAAAATCGTGATTTTCCATGGCAAACCCTTAGTTTACCACCAATTAACCGAAAAAGTTGCAGAACGATGACCCGTTTTTCGTGACTCGAACGGACTTTTTTCTCGGTGGTGCAAAAGGTGATTTGGTGGATTAGCGATAGATAGGGGTGGATCCACAAAGTGGTTGGTTGATTTCATGGAATCTCAATGTGTAGGAGGGGTGAATCCCAAAGTTACATGCACACCTCAATTTAGTTCATCCCCAATTACTAGGAGGGGTGGATCCCCAAAGTGGTTTTATATGAAAATGGTTTTGTAAACTGCCATGAAATGGCTGTATTTTCCATGATTTTTTGTTATTGAAATGACTTTGTACACTGTCATGGCTTTATGTTGGTTCAACATGGATGATAACTTGGGGTACTGCCATGACTCAGGAAACCTCCGTATGGTTTTGTCTGAAAATAGGGAATCCCTAAATCCATTGGTTTATCATGGTTTCTCCTATTGAGAGAGCCATTGTTGGTGTTTAGCCCATGTTCAGACACACCAACCTGCATATATATATATATATATACATTTATTTACTTATTGTAATATGTAATATTTAATATATAATGTATAATATATATATAGCATAAACTGCAGTTAATTAATTGACATTTTATTTTTTCAACAACTTGGCTAAGTACGGGCCACCATCATCCATTTCTCCAGATCTTCCCAGTTTACCGATCAACCCCTACCCCCGAATGGGCCTGCAGTCCGAGGCAGGGCCTAGATTGGAGCAAGGTGATGATAGATCCCATGGTGGAAAAGAAGGACAGAGTGAATCAGTCAATTCAATGGGAATTCCAGGATCCTAAAATGGAGGTACTGTACCATGTAAGGCCATATTTTGTGGGGATATTCCCTTACATAGGCCTTATATGGTAGGTACCTCCAATCTAGGATCCTGAAATGGCCATTGATCAATCTGATGATTTAAAAAAGAACAGTGTCTGGTGGGTTCTGAACTGTTTTTTGTTTAATGGTTCGTAATGGTTCATAATGGTTCGTCATTCCATGCAATTGCGGGTTACATTCAATATTCTCATTCACATGGATTTGCAATAGCAAAGTGCCGTGTACAAGCAGGTAAGAAGCCAACCAAGGCGATGTATGTATATCAATCTTACACATACATGTGTATATATATATACATATTTATTTATTTATACATAGATATAAATGTAAGTATAAGCAAGTGCCATTCTGTTTCTTCACCAACTAGTTGCATGAATCGGGCTTTGGAAACCATTGAATCATGGTTCGTGTTTATATATTTGGCTCCAATCAAGTGGAAGCCGCAACATTGCCAGACATTTTCATGGTTCCTCCTGGGCGATTTCAGGCCGCACCAACCGCAGTCTGATGGTTTTGATCTTCTTCATCAGTTCCATCCTTGAAAATTACATAAGATTCATAAGATGTTGTTTTTGTTTCGTTGTTTCCTTCTTTTTGGCATGGGTTCCTGTGATTTCTTCCTTGTCCCGTTCCTGGCCAATCCAAAGCCTGATGAGATGTATTGGATCTATTCATGAATTGAGGACCCAGACGTTGGCAGGAAATTAATCTTATTATGATATTGCAGTTCTATCCCCATTTCAGGATTTTATCCAAGAATCTGGTTGGTGGTTTGGAACATGAATTTTATTTCTCCCATTCAGTTGGGAATTTCATCATCCCAACTGACTCTAACTCCATGATTTTTCAGAGGGGTAGGCGTACCAACCACCAACCAGGTAAACTCCCAATGTTTGCTGGTGTAAAGCCATATAACCTCCCTCAAGATTCTCACCCTTTCCATGGGGATCAGCAATTCCAGGAGAAGGGACCGATTCTTGGCGATTCTGGAGCCTACCTTCATCCACCAATGGTGCTTGCAGATGTTTAAGAAGTATATACTTATATTATATATATATATATTATGAGTGTGTGTGATCATGCCGATGTATACATACAGTTCTTCTAATGGCTTGTTAGATGTATGGACGATATAGCTTCGTTCTACGGCTGACTATAACGTTTTTGAGGTTTCTTTTCGTGTTTCCACGACCTGTGTTTGTCCTGAAACCTCTTCATGGGTGAAGCCAATGCCGCAATCCAAGCAATGGTCCAGCTCTGTATGTACGTGCTGGTCACCGGTCATTCTAATCGGGTTGGAGAAAGCTATGTAATACTATGTAATAATACCTAAAGTATGTGAATCAGAGTTCCATAAGTTTACGTAATATGTCAAGGTTCGTTGGTTCCCAAAGATGCTTTTCTTCACACTTCAAATGTTCCAGTGTGTTGATCTGTCCCAAGAGTTGTTTCTCCCTTGTTGCCTTTCCAAGGCAGAATGAGGACAACGAAGGTGATGGGATATAAAGATGTGAAGATTGTGAAGACGGGCTCTGCAGGTGGGGGAAAGTCGTAGGTTGAATGCAGGAGAACAATGAAAACAAAAACTATGGGAAAGCATGGGAAACTATGGAAACAATTATGGAAAACACAGGAAAACTATGATAAAACAGGGGAAAACCATGGCTAACCTTGGAAAAATATGGGAACCACCTGGAAAATCCATGGAGAACAACGGAACACAATGGGAAAGACCTGGTCTGCGGAGGAGCTTTGGGGAGAAGGACCTGGTCTAGCCATGTCCGCTGTGGTGATCACGAACGCTGACCGCGGGATGTCAGGAGGAGTCAGGATGAGTCAGGCGTTTCTTTAACTGGGCCTTGGATTGCTACTTTCATACTTATCTTTAAAAATAAATGTGATTACGAATGAGAAAACCAATGCTTTGGGGTACCCATATTTAAGAAAAACCTCCATTGATTTTCGACAAGGAGTATATCAGTATATAGATATATACCTATATATATATATATGTACACAGTATATCCACCAACTATGTTCGACAGGTATTCAAGATGAGCAACAAAGGGAGATGACTGTTGTCAGCTCAATTTTGCACTCGCCGCATGTTTGCGGGAGAGGAATCGGTCAGGGACTCCTGGCAGAGTCTTCAAAGAGTAGTCGGGCGGCGTTGAAATCAGCGAAGACTGATCGCGCCCAAGAAATGTTGGAAGATCAACTGCACAAAAGCTGCGCGTTGCTGGCAAAAAGGATGGAGTGAAACGAGCCAGAGCCGATCATAAATGAAAAATGATGAAACATGAGATGTGTTCCGCATATTTTGGCATACATTGTGCACATATATTTATATGTATGCATGCATTGGGTAGGAAGATGGATGGAGATGGGTAGATAGATAGATAGATAGATAGGTAGATAGATAGATAGATAGATAGATACTAGATAGCTAGATAGCCATGAGGTGTTGGCTTTCACTGCAATTGACGACTTTTTTTTTCGTCAGCCCTACACTTTACACCCTCAAGACTCCTCAAGACCTTTGAAGACCCTGTAAGTCGTGTAGGTCAGCCAAGTGTGTATGAAGTGAAAGTGAGTGATGTGGCGCCTTTTGTTTTGGGTCAAAGGCCATCCAGTTGTAAGTCCTGCAGTATATCTACTATGCAGTGTTTCTGTAACACATGTTATGTTCCCTTTCTCTCTCTATATATTCATACCATTGTGAATCTGAACATATTTATCAGATATGTCCCTCACGAGAGAGAGAGAGATTTATCAGGTATTTCATGTTTCTATAATTATTCATTTTATTAACTATATACATGTATACACATATATGTATATATATATGTGTGTGTGTATTACATGCATCATATTTACGATATATTGCTCCACTACACTTTTAAGAAAGGTCACAAAAGCTGACCAGGTCACCCGCTCGATTTCAGGCATCCCCGGACGAGATGATCCAGATGTGGAGGCCGGCCTCGTGACGGGCTGGGCCGTTCGAACAGGATAGGCATGGGTTTGTCGTAATTGCATGGCCCTATCCTCTGGTAAACTAACATAGCTATTGAACATGGCCATTTATAGTGGATTTACCCATTGAAAAAGGTGATTTTCCATAGTTATGTTAGTTTACCAGAGGGTAATACTAAACACCCCCTTAGAAACTATGGATTTGATAGGGAAAAAAAACAATGCACAATAGTTGGATATAGTCATAGTTTATCCAATGTTATCCATAATTCTGGGTAATTTATAACGGCCTCACTGTTCTCCCGAACCCTGGAATCATGGTTAGTAAGGAAATCATCCCCAAATGGACGAACTATTCAAGTTAGTGAAATGTTATAATTTACCCAGCCATATGCTTCATGTATGGTATATTTACCTACATGACTGGGTGATTTTGTTCGGGCAAATGTTGGGATTCATATTCCAGCACCATGGTTCGCATATGGGGTATAAAAACACCCCCATAAGATGGAAATTCCCTACTTCACCCATGGTTTTTAAGTGGGTGTTTAGTATTAGGGGGATGGGATTAGAAGTAATTGGTTCTTTTGGGAACATCTTTACCCGAAATCATCCAATTCTGTGGTTTCCATATCAAGAGACGGTAGTGGTTTGTGCTCCATAAACCTCCATTTTTACATGTTGAAAACGATTGAAAATTACAGGATGGGGCCCCCAAGTTTTAAGTTGGCTGATAAACCCTATACCATAAATGAAGTTTATAGATCTACCATAAACCATAGATAATCCATTAACATTGTTATAGATCTACCACAAACCATAGAAGTCAGCCACTTGTTTAAGGCAATTGTTCGCTATCTTGGGGGCCCCAGTAAGCAGCCCGGGTTGAGGGAGCGGCACCCCAAAGCCACCCGAACATCACTGGTTGATGTTGTTTGGTGCTTTGAAGATGTTTGAAATAGATGTTAGTTTCTATCGTTTATCTACCATAAAACCATAGTTTTTTTCCTTCTATAGATGTATGTATTGATTCTTTGAAAGTGTTGAACGGGTTGATTGTGTTGTGTGGATTTTTTCCCCTAAGGGATGATTTCCAAGGAGCCCCTTACTGTCTGCAGCGCAGGATCAAAAGAGTGAAGAAACTCAGGACTGGAGCCGCGCAGCCACTGGATTGGCGATTAAATGTGTAACAATTAACATCAAAATCAATATAGATGTTTTTTCCATGAATTTGGCCTAGTTGAATTTAATATCGATCATACATCATCATCATCATCATCATCATCATCATCATCATCAAAGACATTTTTTTCAGTCAAAAATTCTTTGGGATGACACCAGCTGCTGGAAATCCCCTGCCTTCTTGGTTTTCTGGCTTGGGACCCTCAATGGGAGCGACCATGAGAATAAGGGGGGCCCCAGCCTTAGACCCCTCGACAATACTACAGTTTGATGTTTGAAATCACCAATTAGTTGGCAACCATAGGCTGTTTCTCCAAATAATCGCAGTTCAAAGTGGTGAAAAATGGCCCAATTGTCTTCCAAATCCACTTGGAACTGATTTCTAGTTCCATGGATTTGGTTTCAGGAGGAGAACATAGGAAAACAATGGAAAACATGCATGAAACTCCAAGTGTTCCCGGTCAAAAGTCGTCCAAAAAACCAGGCTTTCCGTCGTGCATTTTCCCAGTCCGGGCCATCCTGACGGCAGGACACGCAAAATGAGGTGGTTGCCATGGAGACGCCTTTGAGGCGGCAGGATGCACTTCGAAACTGGGTAACTGGGGGTTAGTTCACCCACTTTTAACCTGGGATACTGAGATAACCCCAGTTAAGTGGACTTATCACTAGTTGAGTTATGAAGCAGTTGCAGCTAAGTGGGATGATCCTCGATTTTTTTTAAAGCCATCTAGGTGACTCAAAAATGACCCCTCCAGGTAGGTCCCATGCAATGGTAGGTCCAACGCAAGAAATCCAGCCCCATTCTGAAATGGGGGGTCATCTGCAAAGGGCCCCTGATGTTTTGCCATAGGTTGCTGTCTGCCTGTTTCTCATTTTCCGGTGCACCTTTGTTCTTTTCAATTTGCTTTCGCTCTCCTCTTGGTTTTCGCAATGAGTTGTTATTTTTCTATCCTCCAAGTTAGGAAGGGCCAAACCTGTTCAACCAGACACTCTCTCTCCCTCTCTCGATGTTGCTCTCCTTTCCTTCATCATGCTCACTTGTTAGGTAATTATTGCACATGTATTACGTCTTGAGAATGTCCTTTTCAGCCTGTGCAAATTTATGCAAAGTTGAACCAAAGTGAACATGTTCAATACGAAATTCGGGAGGCTGTTCACTATTAGCTGGTTGGTGGTTTCAAACAGGTTTTATTTTCCATAATATATGGGATAATCCACCAACCATTGACGAACTCATATTTTTCAAGATGGTTATTGCACCACCAACCAGTTAGGGGATGGATCATGCAATTCCATTGGTTCGACATGTGACTGATCGCTGTCATCCCCTGCGAGGCATTTCGAACATTCCAACAGCAGCTCGGCCAATACGGAACTGGTACCAGAGAAGCTTATAACTGAAAGAGGGTAGTTGGGGATGGGTCAAAACCTATGTGTGAAAATCACTCAATTAGACTCAATGCCTTAAACCATCCCCAAAATCAAAATTCTATGGGTAGCAAAACCATCCCTCAAATGGATCCAAATGGTATATGGTTGGGTTAAGCACATCAATGCTAAAATTCAGTGAATGAACTTCCATAAATCGATGTAAAAACCGAGGGTTTCGACGGTTTCGACCCATACGTTTTGAACCAGAAAAAAGACGGGCACATTACATCTCCAGCTGAAATGGGGGGATTCGAAGCCAAAAATGTGAGGGCCCAAGTTGAAGTGGCTGAGGAAAAATCCCCAAAAGTGGTGTTAATTTATCATGGTTGATCCTTGAAACATATCCAACATGTGAATTGACACATTGGCATTTGGATGATTGAATATGAGTTCAAAAGGCAAACTCAGGCCTATGCTGGTCATGATTGGGTTTATCTAAAGCTCGAAAGCGAGTCAATGCTAAATTTGATGGTTTGTGTTCATGGTGAGAAAGAATGAGCGCAGCGTCATGATGTGTCATGAACAAGGGGACTAAGGTAAAGCGCAGCTCAGGATGTGGCGCCCGTTTCCGATAGCCAAGAGCCGATGTATACAGAATTATAACTTGGACAACTAGCGTTCATGGTATAGATATACTGTAACCATAGTATTAGATATAACCCTATATATATATAAATATACATACAGTATTATAGATATAACCATATATCTATATTAGATATCACCATATATATATAGTTTAGATCACTTAGTATTATATATATAGATATACCATACAGTAGTGATCATGGTGTTCTCTATAAACCAACACTTAGATCATGTCCCGGGCCCACCTGGAACCTGCCCCCGATTTTTGAGGCGTCTTCAACTTTCGCGCCCAGATGTCATCGAAGAAGTCCAGCAAGCCGAACCGTCCCCTGAAAAAAAACGGTATACCTGGACTGTTGACCCATAAATTGCTTTACCCCATAAGCTTGGTACTTTGACGTACGTTGACCCATTTTTCAGAAAGGCACTTCTGGGGTCTAGTTAACAGGTATGTTGTATTACTACATTTAGTGATATGAATTGATGTGTTGATGGAGTTTCCATTATTCCACATTGAATTACCAGAAAACTCAGGCTGCCCAAAAGGGAGCTGACGCCATTTTGTGCCCCGTGGGAGTCGTTGAACCGCGGTCCTTCCCAGGACATTACGTAAGTCACACGTGTTGGAATTGTGGGAGGACCACAGGATTTTGTTGACAGATTGACAGGGATGAACTCAGGCCACTGTCAGGCTTGTAAGTGCCTAGACCCTCCAAGTACCCAGACAAAATATGACAAAATCGTGTTTTACCATATGATCCATATGTTTGACTCTATGATTTTGGTAGCTTTACACATAAAATTATATATTTATGATATGAAGGTAATATAAAATGGTGGTATAAATATATGTTTTCCATGTTATATATTACATATATATATTATGTTTTACACATCGTCATACTGTAGGTTTTTCCATGGGTCCCTCCATGGCTTCGGCAGCGACTCGATGTCAGGTCCTGACAGTGGCGATTTGCCACCCGGCTGCAGGGAGGTCATCCCAGTGGCGATACCATGGCAAAGCCGTTTTCAGTAACCATGGTTTAATGATAGGGATTATCCATCATTATTATGGATAAATATGGGACCAATAATTAAACCATGGTTACTGAAAACGGATTATTATAAGGGATTATTATTATTATAGTTTTAATAACGGTTATATGGGATTATCCATGGTTTAGCCATCATTATCTATGGATAAATATATGGGACCAAGAAAAAAATTGCCATCCATGGATCCCATACTATTGGTTTATCCATGGACTACCACATTATTATGGGACTAATTTTATATAATTTTGCCATCCAACCATCCCAATTTTTGTATAAACCATCATGGATATATCATTATAACCACAATTATAACCATCCCATGAAATATCAATGAATGATATTATCATCCCAATGTGATCCACCATTTGGTCATTGATATTTTATGACCATGATTTTGTATAATCTCAGTCAATAGGGGATATACAAAAAAACAATCAACGCAGAATGGTCTATTCATTGGTTTTGCCCATTTCTTTTGCTTGCCAAATAGGAGCTTGTTGCAGTCACCTGACCCTGCGGGTCCTCGCGAGAATTGGTCCATGTTTGCCCCCCAGGGCCGTTTGGGCAGCTCTGGCTGCCATTTACCACCCTGGGGGTAAAACAATGTCATAAACCACCCATGACTGGGAATGGTAACCATACCACCTATAAAAATTGTGCTTGGGGGGATGGTTTATTATTGTGTTGCCCACATTATCTATATATATATATACATACATGCATACACACACACATATATATATATATATAAACACTCAGTAAATAATATATATATAATATAATATATATACCATGACTTGGGATGGTTGAAATATGTTGAACCATGAAATGACTTGGGGTGCAACTGGCCAGGTCCAAGATGATTCGCCAGGACCCGGCATGGCAAGCGGCTCAAAGGTCGAAGGTCACGAATCCACTCAGCCCGGAAGGTCCCGAATCTGAGTCGGAGATTGCAGAGGTAGATGATGTGTGAAGGAAAAACCACTGAATCACCTTCTGGTGGTTTGGAACATGAATGGATTATATTGTTCCATAGATTGGGAATTTCATGATCCCAAGTGACGAACTCATATTTTTCAGAGGGGTTGAAACCACCAACCAGCCTTGAGTTGAAATGTCCCAATTGAAAAAAGTGCAGCTATTCATATTGCTTGAGCCCCTACAAAAAACAAAGAACTGGAAGAAAGGACTGGAAAAAACAAGGGCAATCTTGGGACTATCAGGATTGCAACAACAGAACTCCAATTAGCTATATAATATAAATATATATATTGTATAATAGATATATATAGTTATATATATATAGTTATATATATATGTGTGTGTGTGGGTTACATGGTGTTCACAGAAAAGGTAGAGTTTCTGCAAACAGCGCACTTCTCGAATTCGTATCGTTTCGTTTTCTGCCGTGGCTCCACGGCCAATGTTGATGGAACACATGGCAACACACGGATGGATGGCATGTGAAACTTTTAGATTCACTAAAGCACTAAAAGTCTTGCTTTGTGGTGTCTATGGATTAAAGTTACACACTTGGGATTTCCATCGTTGTTTTCTGTTTTTTTTAGGGGGTAGAGAGTGAGACAGAGAGTCACGCTTGAGATGATGGTCCTAATTGTAAGGTTTCTTGAACTGCTGACATCATGGGAAACCACTTGGCGACATATGACATATTTGGCCCAAATTGAGCTCAATTTTGGCTGAAGTTGTGGTTGAAACTATGTGGAAGAATGAGGTTGGCCTTGTGTTTCGCTCTTTGCATCTTTCGGTTGTTACGTTAACGCGCCCACGCAAGGGACGTGTGTAGGGTTGCTTGTGGGAAAAAGCCAACGCGTACCTCGGTTCCGAGACACCTGAAGGTCTTTGTTGGAGCTAATGTTGTTGCATGTGGTTGTATCATCCCAATTTCAACAGAAATCCATAAACCTAGAAACTATGAAATAAATTCAGGTAATGCCACTTGTCGCTAAACTATGCTAAATTTATATACCGTCATATACCGTCCCAATTTTGCCAGAAACGGATTGCATCAACCAGTCACACATCAGTGCCTAGTTGAAACACTCCATGGATCCGGATGGTCTTTCTCCATCTTTCTCCCAAAAAGATAGAAACGTGATGTTCCACTTGTCCCCTATTTTAGTGAGATTTTGCTAAACTCTATCGTTTTCGGGGTTGTCGTTGTTTGTTTTGTTGTTTTTAGCAAAACATGTTTTTCAGCTCTGCGGAAAGTGACTGCATCAGCACGTGGCTTTCCAAGGTTCAGAAGTCCAATTATGAAACTCCCCCCCAGAAACCATGGTTTACTAGGAAAATTGAGTACACATATCATATACGTATACTATACTATAATTGGACCGATTTTTGGAGTGTTCATATTAGGGAGATGGGCAGGATTCATTTGAAACGATTAATCCGTACGGACCATATGGAGCAATCTGGGTGACCACATGCCATCCTGCAGGATTGATGGGCCCACAGTTCTTGGGCTCCAGACATGTCAAGCCTGTGAGGCACGAATCAGCAGAACGCCATGGAAACGATGTCCAAGAACTTTGCAACACGTTGATTTATTTCATTGATGTGTGACTGTATCATACTTCTACAATTCAACCACATGTGTCACAAAATATCCAGCATCGATCACAAAGACCTTAGTTTCAGCAGTTCAGCGCCATGGAGTCTCCAGCTCGTGAGCTGCGCATGCGCGGCAGCCCCACGCGACGGGAGGCCGAAGAGAGTGGATGTGCAACGGACAAGGTCTGGCCTGCGGAGGACTTCACCAAGAAAGATGTGGAACAATTAGGGATCGACCCTATATTACTGGGATGTTGATAGTCTGTAGCTAACAAACTACCAACATGAACCTGTCTGAAATATAGCATAATATAACCAAGAAGAAAGGGTTTCTCACATGCAATCACAGGAAATGATGGATAGAAGGGGAGGAAATTATGGATTTTATCTGTGGTGGGAGCTACCCTGAAATCTGGGATATGTTGCCACCAGAACGGGATATAAACCAACAAACTATTTGAAACAAGTCCAATGACATGAAAGTGTGGGGAGTCTGAAAATGAGGCATTTAATGCCCAGCTACAGGATATATATATATATAGGATAATTTAGGCATAGGTAAAATTAGATGATGGACACAATGACAGTACGTATATTAATTTAGGTAGAATTAGATGATGATGATGATGATGATGAACACAATTTGTTGGGTCCCCATTATTTTCAAGACAAAAAGCCAACTGTCAAGGGGAGATATGTTTCATCGCCAGGTGGTCAAGGTTGCAACCACCTCGACACGCCGGTTGATGAAGTGCCTAGGGCCTAGAAGCGGCCGTGGCAGATGATGATGTGGTTTTTTAGAGTTAATAGAAGTGAACAAATCATGGAAAATCATGCGGATATTGTGGAAAAGATAGGAATATTTTGGAAAATATGGTGAAATATTAAGCGTTCAAAGATTTGGAAGATGTGGATCGTTGAATATATTATGGAGTTGAATAACTCAACACTTGCGTAGACAAGAAATTGCTGTTACGCACTGCAAAAAACGCGCAAAGAGTTTCAAATCATTGATAGTTTGTAGATGTTTGCAGTATTTTGTTCATAACCATGTATTTCCATGTATTCCACATAATTTTCCATAATATTCCCATGATTTACCATTAAGTAAAGAGTTGTTTTTTTCCCCCATAACCAGGGCAATACATGGTCGATGGGCCAGGCGGATGCTTTCAACAGAGGTAGGTCTTCTCAGCATCCAAAATGGAAGTCTAAGCATTCAACAAGTGGGGTATTAACTATTAATTGAGTTACCCTCTGGTAAACTAACATAACTATGGAAAATCACCATGTTTTATTGGGAAAACTCACTATAAATGGCAATTTAATAGCTATGTTAAATTACCAGAGGGTAATTGTTAATGAATTGGGTTTACCTATGTAAGTAATGGATCTAACTATCATTTATGTAAAGAATTGAGTTTACCCCCTGGTAAACTAACAGTTGGCGAACTGGAAAATCACCATCTTTAAGAACTGTAAATGAACTATTTTTGTGGGCCATTTTCAATAGCTATGTTAAATTACCAGAGTGTAAGCATTAAACAAGCGGGGTTTTAACTATCAAGAGTTGGGTTCAACTAGAATTTGGGTTTAAACTTTTTTGGGGGGGGGATTGCAGTCAACGAAGCGGAATATACACAATCAGCTAATGATCTAACTAATTTACAGTAAATAGGGAACATATACTTGGAGCTGTGTATTGACGAGCATGTGACATAATTTGAGAACCAGCGAATATTTGGGACCTGGCTTGAATTGTAAGACCCTGATCCCACAGATGGACTAGCTTTGATTTGTTCAGCAACTATAGAATATATGGCAAACATATAGGCTGCATGAAGATGTGTTTCACATGTTGGGCAGGACTCCGGCAGACCTCTCTTTGACTCAGTTGTACTCCACTAGTGTTTTTCCGCACCGCCCTTCAAATGAGAATCAGGTCCCGCGAATATCGTTTTTTCGCACCTAAAGATCCTGGTTTAGTTCTCGACCCATCAGTGTTGATCTTCTGGGGACACATCGATGGGGGGATGTATTTTTTGGGCTCGTTGGTTCAACCATGGCTCCATGTTTGATGATTGATTCCCCAAACCTTGCGATTCGGACCGGTAGAGCTATTGTTCAACCATATTCAACCAGATTAAACCTCAATTTTGATCGTGAAACCATGTTAAACTCACCATTTCAATGCAATTCATGTTGGTTGAATCATAGCTTTGGTGAGTCACCCAGTTCTGGGTGGGACGACGACCGCCCAGGATCAGCAGCCTCACTCTGTTCGCCTTGGTCTTTCTGTTCCTTGGGCGATGGCTGAGCCATGAACGGATTTAGCGCGCAACTATCCCCACATTTGATCATCCAAATATTCTCCCCACCATATCCTCATATTATCTGGTTGGTGGTTGAGCCCACCCCTCTGAAAAATGATGGACTTCGTCAGTTGGGATGATGACATTCCCAATATGACGGGAAAGTCATAAAAATCATGTTCCAAACCGCCAACCAGATACGGATGTGTATGGAGAATCACAATTTTCAATGGGTAAATCCACTATGAATGGTCATTTTCAATAGCTATGTTAAATTACCAGAGGGTATGAACTTGGTTTATTTAGCCCGTTTGGGATGGGATGATCTCCATATACAATGACCCTCAAGCCTATGGTTGGTGAATGGGCACATAACTTGCGTCACCATCAAGCCACTTTGGCCCGTAAACCAACCCTGGGATATGCTGGGATTCTGGCTGAACTTCCCATGGTTGGGTTAGCTTCAACGAAAAAGATACTGGGACCTGATGTAACGCTCCTTTCTACATTAGTTATTGTGCTGGTACTCACTGTCACAGTTTTGGGTGGCTGCAAACATATTATCCCGAGAAAATGCAACAACCGCCAGGAAACATGAGAATAAACCAGTGGAATGTACAACTAAAAATCGAGGAACAGTAATGAACAGTCCAAATGCAAACCCCTAAAACAGGCACAGAACCTGCGAAAATGGCGATAGAACCAGGTGAAGTGAAAAATAATACTAAAAGTTGACTAAAGTTTAACCAAAGAACACTAAATATTAATGTTTTAAAGTCTACTACAGTTTGTTAAAAATCATTCCATCGCCACTTCCAGCTGTATCTCTCGTGAAACGATGCGGCGATTCCGCAGGTTGGCCTTCTTGGGATGG